GGGAACAACAAAGGCCAAGTTCCAGTAACTGTTAAAATAGAGGTTGAACTAATTAGGTGCCATCAAGGTGAAGTCAAAGTGACTGAAAGAGTTGATGATGATGAAGTGGAACCAAATATAGATATCAAAGCAGAACAGGAGAAAGAACAAGATTTGAAGCCTATAATTGATTTTCTAAAAATAAGTGTTTTGCGCCCTGCCTTGGAGAAGGTGTCTAGTCTAAGCCTTGTGACAAAGCACTATTGGGCACAATGGGACCAGTTAAAGCTTGAAGATGGTATTCTTGTCCGGAGATGGAAAACTGCAGATGGGGAAGTGACGACCTGGCAAACGGTTATACGGTGAAAGTTAAGGAAAGTTGTGCTGCGTCAGTCCCATGATACTTTAACAGGAGGACATCTTGGAATTAGGAAGACATTGAGTCACCTACGACAAAGAATTCACTGGATAGGTATGAGGCACGATATGGAAAAATGGTGCAGAACATGCAGTACATGTAGTGCTAAAAGGGGACCCAAGCATACAGGACACCCACCTTATGAAGAGTTGCCTGAGAATGTGTCAGAGTTGGTGAAAGTGTTATCGGAAAGGATGGATGATATTCACCATCAAGTGCATTCGAACTTGAAAACGTCTGCTGATTCGATGAAGCCATCTTGTGATAAGAGATCTACTGAAGTCAGCTTTGAACCAGGAGACAAGGTCTGGTTGTATAATCCCAGGAAGACCAAAGGGAAGTCTCCTAAGTTGTCTTCTCCATGGGAAGGCCCATATGACATAGTGGATCGTCTCTCAGACGTGACTTTCCGGATAAAATGTGGTCGGCGAGGTAAGCCAAAAGTGGTGCATGCCAACAGGCTTTGGCGTTATCACAGTCCAGGACATTTCAGTTGGGATGAAGTGGACAACAGAACAAATGATGCTGCTGAAGACGTGCCACCTGAAGAATCCACTGTCAAAGAAGAAACTCTATTCAGTTTTGAGAAGGAAAATGGTGAAGCTCTTGACGAAGTTACTACCACTGATGTGACTCTTACCGACGATAGGACA